GTGGGCGTGGCAACTGAGACATATTTTTTGTTTTAAGCTCTCTCACACACACAAACACACTCACACACATCCACTGCCACAAATCCACCGCAAAACGGAAGGATAAAGCGTTGCCTTGGGCTCGTTTGGCTCCGCTGCCAAAGCTAGCAAAGTTTTCCACTGTTTGTCCTTTTTCATTGCCTACTTTTCTGTGCGGAAACCAGAGCAAAATTAAGGAATGTCTTTAAAAGCAGCTCACTCGAGTATCAGCTTCAGCTATGCATTTTGAAATACAAACAACAGCAACTTTTTTCGTAGCTTTATTAAGAACTTGGAAATGTCCCAGAAAGCAACTTCTTCTTTGAAAAAGGAAGGATTCAAAAATAATAAAAATCTATAAAACATTTAAAACATATATTCAAAGTCGGCTTAAAGAAATACTTCAAAAAGTAGGTTTTGGCTCTGACGTCTAGCTAATAGCAATACTAAATTAAACATATTTTCATTTTGATAAAGCAAACAAAATTCGCTCAATTTACAAATATATAATTTTGGTATTGTACCATCAAATTACACTTTCCGCTTGCTTATCTTTCCAATTGCTGCACGACCAAATTCAACAGAATGCATATACTTGTAATTACACCAGCTGGCAAGACAGTTAAGGTCGATATCGCCGATGAGCCCTATCCTGAGGACATGCACAAGGATCATATAATACCTCACGATGAAGTAAAGCTGCTTGATGAATTTCCATCGACATCGGCACAGGCAGCTTCTCTTCTTTCTACTTACAAGCACTTGGACAAGCAACCAAAATTTACGGATAACACAAATATACATTTTGCCAGCGATTCTGAGAAAGTGTAATGTCGGTAAGTATATAAGTTGATAGTTTCATTGATTGTATTTTTTAATATATTTATTATTAAGCGCTAGTCTAAGATGTTTTCCTTGTGCTTGTCGTTAAGAGCGGAAAACACAAACAGAGCTTGAAGACAACTGATTAACGGGAAAAATATGTGCAACAGCTGCAAAGTAAATCAATGTAATTATTATTAAATGAAATTATTAAGAAACTTCAAAACAAAAACATTTGCATTTACTTTTGTATTGAATATATTTCTAGTTTTCAAAAATATACGTTTTTTGCAGATTTTAATTCAATTGAAACTGCTTTTACTATCAGTTTTCTAATGTATGCTTTTTTTGGCACGTCTGCTCTAATCTCTTCAAACAAGTAGACGAAACTTAAGTATTTAAGCGACACGTGCTAAGCAAATTAATATGACTGCGGTTGATGTTGTGGCTGAAGTGTAGACATCACACACACACACACACACACACACATGCACACACTCAAATCCACTGAGACACTGAATGAATGACATTGTCTGGCACGAGTGGAAATGTTGACAGCAAAAATTTAACGCTTCAAATGCAAAACATTCAAATATTTTGACATTCAAAGCACAAAAAGAGAAAAGAAAGCACGCACATACAAAACACACGCACACACACATGCGAACACAACACAAACACACACTCACACACACACACACACATACTCACGAAAGCAGGGCTTTTGTCTTTGCGTAGCAAATTTTCCATGAAAATTGCATGAATTGCAGATTTTTATACGCACGAAATACGACTGAAGTCAACTTGAGTCGAGTCGAGTTGAGTTGAGTTGTTGTTATTGTTTTTGGTCTAGTTGTTGGTGTTGCGTGTACTTCACTCATTTTATGGCTGCGCCTGTGGCACTTGCTGTGAAATATATAGAACAAAACAACAGCAAAGTAAGCACAAAAAACAAAAACAAAAGCAAAAACGTATAAAAAGTGCCTTGCAGAGTAATAGATATTTTGGCTTCAACAGGGGCAAACAGGCGATTCAAACAATGACTTAATATGCTACCGCTGCAACATTAATGCACATGTTGCAATATGGCGTATGCGCGATATGCCAAGCCGCACAGCATGCAACAAAAAATAAAACAGCGAAACCACTCAATTGGCGAGCACGGGGCGTATGATTTATGTGCCTTATATTTAAATAGCAGCCAAAAAGTATGCAACAATCATCTGCCAACAATCTGACACTTGTGGCACATGCGCCAAATGCCAATTTGTTAGCTGCCACAACTAGAATTGCATAGCTAATGCAATATTCTACACACACACACAAATTACTTAGATGTGCTTTGGGGCAGCAGAAGTAATTCATCAGCTTGTAAATCTCGCAGTGAAAACTCATTGAACAAAACTGCACAGAACTTTACTCGGTATAAGTTTGACTACATTTGGTTAAGATAAGATAATAAGATTGCAAGTTTTGTGATGTTGAATTCAATTAGCCTAATAGAAAAACTAAAACCAGCTCTGATATACAAGAGATCTTAAGATCTTTTGCACGTCTTTATAAATGTTGTCAAGAAAATAGAAACAAATATTTATATTAAAACTTTTTTGTAAATTAAAAAATTAAGCTCGATAAAAGTGTTCTAAGCTGACTACTTTTCTAACTTTCAACACGTTTCTGTGTCGAACAACACCCAAAGGAGGCATTTATTATGCTAAAGTGCCATAAAGAAAAACTAACCAAAATTCAGCGAACAACTGAATTTAAATCATCAATTCTTAATGTTCTTGCCTAAGTGCATAAATCAAGAGTGACAACAAGCTGCTTGCCGCTTGCCACCTGGCAACGTGGCGGGACCTGCCGCACTGACCGGAAACCTTTAGCCATCTGTTTTTTGGTCGTGTGACATTTGTGTCTTTTGTTTTTAATGTCTAAAATGTAATGTACTGCCAGCAAAAGCAGCAGCGTGACGAAGGACAACTGAATTGTAGAAGAACTTTACCTTCAGATTTGTGTTTGTCTAAGACCAATAAGCATTCCAGTTAAGCAGTTGTCTTTGCGATTTGGCTTGGCCAAGATTTATGCGCTGCGAACGCTTGATAAATGACTGAGCAAATTTGTAAGTGGCTTTTACTTAAGAGTCAAGCAGCGCTCTCTCTCTCTCTCTCTCTCTTTATCTATATATCTCTCTTAGCGTTTGCTGGGCCATAAATTCGCAGTTGGCTGCATGTCTAAATTAGAATGAAGGTAATTGTTGATATTCTGAGTCTAGTTTCTTGCTTAAATATGCTGCTGCAAATTAAAGTGAATGACATAACTAAACAACTTAATTAGGTCACATTTTGTAAGCTTTCAAACCATTAAGAAACAATGGTGGAATTTTAATTGATTTACATAATATATGTAGAGTTTGATAATTAGAGTATGTACTTCAGTTATTAAATCTTACTGACAATTTAAGTTTCCTTCAATTGTATCGATTTTTTTGTAAATTATTCAGATGTGGGTAGGTTAATTGTGCTAAGATATATTATCTTTGACATGCCAAAGATAGCCGTTTTCTTTTTTGGTTTTATTATTAATTCTGTCTCTAGATCAGTTTATTCAACTCTCTTTGCACACGCCAATCAAGAGCAGACTTTTAAGTCGTAGACATGTCTAATTAAAAAGAACACCTGACTATAATTTATATTATTCTTTTTCTTTGTCAACCGATAAGACTCTCTCTACTACGATATGTGTATGTACTTCGTGTATGTCATTTATGAGGTAAGTGCAAATACCAAATTTTAAATTGCATTCAAAATTTTACAGAACTCAACCACACTCAATGTGTTTAGAGTAAAAGTAATCATGTGAGTATTTGAATTTATAATTGGATGCATATTCGACGGTACCTGTTTATCGGTAATTTATGGTTGTGAGTCAAATCAAAGTGGTTAAAACCAGTGTTCAAAATGCAATTTGCTTTTTGGGCGCATTGAAACGAAATTGACCGCAACAGAATTATTTCAAATGAGTCACGAAGAGTTTTGCTTTGGTTTCAGGTAAAACAGTTCAATTAGAAAAATAATATAAAAAAAAAACACACACATAATGTACAATAATGTGTCATAAATAAACAAAGAAGAAACATTTATTTTCAACAGTAATTCTTTTATTTAACTGAATGCTGTGATAGATTACGTAAATGTTGTTACCTTTTTTTGTTCACAATTATAAATTGTTTTATGCCGTAATTAATTTTTAAAAATACTGAAAGGTTAATCTGTGTATTTTGTTTTCCTTTTTTGTGGCATATTTTTTGTTGACTTTTTTCATCGAACAACTAATCATAAATAACTGGAAAGTAGTTAAAACAGAAGGCTTTAGCAATCATATTGGACAAGTTCCATATGCAGTTTAGTAAAATCATAAGCTAATTAGCGATGGATAAAACAATAATCACTTTTTGCTTTTAGGCCGTTTGACTTTAAGAGCTCATTAAATAATGCGTTTAATGCATCAATTGATTTTGACATCAGTTTTCTGAACAGCAATTTCCGCTTGAATATATTCATTATTTATCAGTCAAAAAGCAGCCTTGCAAATTGATTATTAAAGATGCCAATATGAATAGATATAAATTAAATGAAACAGAATGCTTTCGTAGAAAGATCTTGACAAGGACAAACAAGTTTTTAAATATGTCATGTCATCAATTTATATGTCTAAATAATATTTAACAGATCTTACCCTTCAAATTTAAACAGCTCTTAAGGAGTCAAACAAATGATGTAATTCATAATCGCAAATAATACTTTTAAATGCAATATGTGTAGTTCTAGCTCTTATAATATCTGGTATCCGTATATTCATACAAACTGAGAGAGAGAAAGACATGGCTTGATCGATTTTCCATTCATTATAATCATGATTATAACTAGTTTACGAGGTTAAATAGCTGTGTAACTTAATTATACTAGCCTTAGGTCAGAGATATCAAGTGAATCACAACAAATAAAATATATGAATGCTACATGATAAATGCATTTTTTTAGCGTATTATTAATTAGATATGAATTCACCTCTGGGCACGTCTTCACTATTTCCCAATAAATACGTAAATTATTTGGGAATATTTTTTTAGCTATTCCATTTTTGAATTATACCTGACTTACCTTAGGTCAGCTGCGAACAATTTGAACCGATACACGTCGTCACCGTCGTCAGCGTCACCGTCGTCGTCGGAGGCGCACGTCGACGAGACAGAAATGCTACCGCTCCGCTCAGTGATCGCTTGGCGTTCGTCGTGTGTAGTTCGGTTCGAATCAAGTTAAAACCCTTAACGTGTTTCTTCAATTTTCAATTTTTATTGAGCTGCAAAGAATAAAACAAAAACAACCATAAGCATTGGCAACGCGAATACACGAAAATTACTTAATTATATTTAATTATGCTGACGGTCGCGTATAATAAATATAATTGAAGAGCTACAAATATGATAAACTGCCTTGGCCTATGATTAAGCCAAGTTTGAGCCCTAATTGGAAACGAACAAGTTAACGAGACTCCACAATTCATAGCCAAACTGGCGGATTAAAAAGAGTAAATTTTCATATTTTTTAACGCATTTTAAATAAATAGACTGAGTCAGTTAGCAACAGTTGGTGTCAGTGTGGCCTAATCACAAAGCAAATGTTAATAAAAACACAAGCATAGACGTGTGGTAAACAAAACAGAAAAACGCTCAACTGGTTTCCAGAACCCTCTTAAAATCCAGCTTGTCATGAATAAAAAAATAATACTCATAATAAAGCTGAACAAATTTGTATAAACAACAATGTAGGTCAAGGTTCGGAAAAGCCATCTGTCTGGCTTTATAAAGAACAAAAAACTTATCTCCCACTATCTTTGCAATTACTGTTATATTATTTTTATATCCATGTCTGAGCTGACTGATACGTAATTGGGCTGTTAATTTTATTTCCTTATGCTCAGTTAGCCATATCTGGCGTTATCTGGCCCACTCTGGCCTTATCTGCTGTCACAAATGGTTAGCATAGTCCACTACAATAATAACATATTTATGATTGCTCAAACGTGTCAGAATCTAATTAAACTGATCGCACCGCTATAATAGCAACAAAGAAATGCTACAATATTTTATATTTTTCATGCCCGCTCCATATAGAGAATAATAGAAATGTATTTTAAAACAAGTAGAGTAAGCTAGATTTCGACCAGTAAATCACACGTTTCAGGTAGTGCTGACATTTCGCACCGAGGGCAACGGCTTCGGCTCTGTTTGCTTCCTTCACTTTCCATTAACTACGAGAACAACAAAACAAAATAACAGCAACAGCAACAGCGTTGCGCATGCGCAAATGCAATACTGAAGCAATAACAACAAATACAACAACAAAAGAAGCACAATGACAACGAGCTAACAATTAACAATCCAAAATTGCGAAAGGCTAAAACCAAGTTTACATACTCTTTCTTAAGACTGATGAGTATTTATATTGATATGAAAAAGTTATTATTTGGATATTGAGATAAGTAGGTAGATGTTTATAACTTAATTTACTGCTTTTTCTTTTTTTTATGCTTTTTTAATATTAATAATGTATATCAACTATATACCTATTACGATAGAGTCGAATGAACTTGGTTATCTTATCTGCTTCCGTCTTATACATCAATTCTCAAGAAAACAAAATTCAGAAATGACAGCTATCTGCAGACCATTAGGTGTAATAAACGAGTTTTTATGAGCAGAACACTCTTTGTAGCAAAGCAACAAAACAACAACCAATATAAGTGATATTTCTTCTTAATTTTGCTGAAAAAACCCCATTAATTATAATAAACAATGAAAACCGGTATTAAGCATAACTGCCGAAAGCTTCGATTTTTCGTTCTTTAAGATCTTATTTGTTATTAAAAAAAGAAGACTGTAAATTGATTTGAGTACACATAAAAGTGATTGCTGACTCGTAATCAGGAAATAATATTTTTGCTAACAGAAATACCAATATGCAAAATAATACTTGTAATTTAAAAGATAATATTTCACTCTTCATAACAAATTATTCACCATTTGCTATTACAACAATAAGTAGTAAATTATTTAACAACCGAATCGAATTCACAAAATGCTCGAAGCTGCTCTTCGAAAACAAACAAAAGAGAAAAGTAAACAAAAGTCAAATTGAAAACGCAAGGCGCGAAAATACAAATGCCTCGCAGCATTGTCTAGAAACTTGTTTGGGCCCTAAAAACCTGTTGCTCTTTTGGCCAAAACTACGAATTGCTATTGTATTTGTTGCCTGCAGTTTTTACTGAATGAATGAATACCACAAATTGTTATATAATTGTTGCTTGAGTCAGTGGGTCACTGACTTTATTGTTTTTGTATTCAAAACCGGTATTGCACTTGTAGTTGGTAGCGATTTTAATTAGTATTGAACCACAAAACTTGACCACAAAACATAACCTTGAGATGCGTGTTGCATTTTGATTGATTTGACAGCTGCAAACTGCCGCAATGGAACAGCAAACTAACAACATGAACAATAACAATGACAATAACAATGGTTACCTCAATCCCGCCTATGTCGGCTCCACAATCTCCGTACCGGGGCAATATAAGACGCAAGGTGAAGGTGCTACGCCTACAGCCACACCCACTCCCAAGCCAATTTCAAATGGTCTAAAAAGCAGCGAGGCCCAAGAGGATTTGGAACAGGGCGAGAAGCGAGCTGCCTGGAATAATGACATTGAATTTCTCATGTCCTGCATTGCTTTGAGCGTGGGCCTGGGCAACGTTTGGCGGTTTCCCTTCATTGCCTTGGAGAATGGCGGTGGCGCCTTTCTGATACCCTATCTTATCGTACTGGTGTTGGTGGGCAAACCTGTGTACTATCTGGAAATGTTGCTGGGACAGTTCTCCAGTCGTGGCAGCGTCAAGGTCTATGATTTTTCCCCCATTATGAGAGGTGAGTGACCGAGCTTAATTTGATTTAAATACAAGCATTAAATATAATTCACAATAGTAAAAAAAAAAAAACCAAAAGCTATTCAAAAAATACAATTATTTAATTACGAGATGATTCAAATTACATTCATCTTCCTACTAATTATTTTAGTTTGCCAAATTTCTCTAATTTCTGAAAGTTTTTCGATACAATAAATAAAAAATTATTAAAAGAAAATAGGTTTTTTGCTGCCTCCAGGTCAGGTTTTTTTTTTAAGACTTTAAAAAACAAAAATTATTTAATTACGAGATCATTCAAATTAAATTTAAGTTCCTAATTATCTTAGTATGCCAAAATAGGCAAATTTATTTATCGATATGTTTGTTGTATTTTTTCTTATATATTTTATATGCAAAGATATTTATATATGATAATTGTATTCGAAATATATTTAAGTATATAGGAAAGCACTTGATCTGGAGCCAGCAAAAATCAATTTTTTATTATAAAAAAACGAGGTCAGCAACAAAAAAATAATTATAATAAAAATTGCAATACAATGTTTTAATAAACAAATTCCAGTTTCAATATCCGGTTGCTTGAAATGAAAGTGAACAATTCATATATATTCATTTAAATAATCATTCGTACTTTGCTCTCTCTCGTTTTTATTTTTGTTGGACCATATAGGTATTGGCTATGGTCAAGTGCTGGCCACGGGGATTGTTACAACATTTTATGCCACCTTAATGGCGCTCACGCTGCGCTATTTTGTTGAATCATTTTATTCCACACTGCCCTGGAGCTACTGTCGCGAGGAGTGGGGCAGCAGTTGTTTGGATTCGGCACCGCAGCATGAGGACGACACCACGGTGAGTGGCAATCATTCAACGATACGCACCACCTCAGCGGAGTTTTACTTCAAGTAAGTAAATCAGCTTCGTGATAAAGGGCTATCAATAAGTCCCCTCCTCATCATCTCTCTTCCTCCAGTAAAATAGTGTTGCACGAGAAGGAGAGTATTGATGATGGCATTGGCTATCCCAGCTGGAGTTTGGCTTTGACTTTGGCCGCCGCCTGGATCATTATAGCCAGCATTATGTTCCGTGGCGTCAAGAGCTCTGGCAGAGCCTCCTACTTCTTGGCGATATTTCCCTATGTGGTAATGTTGATACTCCTCGTCCGCGCGTTGACGCTGCCTGGCGCCCTGGATGGCGTCGTGTATTTTTTGAAGCCACAGTGGCACAAACTGATCGAGCCGCAGGTTTGGTATGCTGCAGTTACTCAGGTCTTCTTCTCGCTGGCCATTTGCTTTGGCAACATTGTCATGTACTCTTCGTACAATCGTTTTGGCCACAATATATACAGGTAAGTAAATAGGGCTTAATGTGTCTCCTTAATTCCAGTTTCCTAATTTATTTATTATTTTATTCATTATGCTTTATTTTTTCTGTTGATTTTACTATTATTTACTGTTTATTACTTATCATATATTATTTATTATTTTATATTTATTATTATTGTTTTTTTTTATTCTATACAATACAGAGATGCGAATATTATTACCACCTTGGACACATTCACATCACTGCTCTCTGGCATCATTATCTTTGGCATCTTGGGCAATCTGGCGTATGAGAATAATACCACAGATATATCGAGTGTAGTCAATGGTGGACCCGGCTTGGCTTTCATCTCGTATCCCGATGCTATATCAAAGTTTAAGTTGCTGCCACAGGTCTTCTCGGTTCTCTTCTTTCTGATGCTCTTTGTGCTGGGCATTGGCAGCAATGTGGGCATGGTCTCCTGCCTGACCACCGTGCTCAAGGATCAGTTCACAAAGCTTAAACAATGGCAGATTGTGTTGCCCATCTCGATTGTGGGCTATCTCTTGGGTCTGATGTATATAACACCTGGTGGTCAATTTTTGTTGAATCTGTTGGATTTCTATGGCGCCACTTTTGTTGCATTAGTTTTGGCCATCTTTGAACTGTTGGCCATTGGCTGGGTGTATGGTGTTAAGCGCGTCTGTCGTGATGTGGAATTCATGCTGGGCATCAAAACTTCCAAGTATTATCGTATCTGTTGGGCGGTCATAACACCGCTCCTCATGACCAGCATATTGATCTACATGCTGGCACTTTATGAGCCCTTAAAGTACAAGGACTACACATATCTGCCAGGCATTTATGGTAAGCTGAATACAGCTCTTAGTATAATCGTAGTGTCCATTAATTCAATTTCGTTTCATTTACAGTCTTTGGCTGGTGTCTGAGCGCCTTTGGTGTCGGTCAGCTAATCTTCTGGGCAATACCAGCCGTGAGGCGGCAACCCGTCGACCTTAGTCTTTGGCAACGCATACGTAAAGCCTTTGAGCCGCTACCCGATTGGGGACCCAGCGATCCCAAAACCCTGGAGCGCTATCAACTCTTCATGGAGCAAGCGAATACGGAGACAATGTTCCAACGCAACGGTATCTGCCACAAAATATATGACAATATCTTTGGTTAACGATATAAACGAAAAAAGCTGTAGATATGAATGCTGGCGAGCTACCAGCTTAATATGTGTTCAAAAAGCTAACGGCTACTAATATGTGCTGTTGTACAACACAACCCTTTTATATAATAAAAAAATCCACGGCTAAAGTGCCAAATGTAGTTGCTGCGCCAGTTAGCCTAAAGCAACGAGCCCCCGTTTAACAATCCAGCTAGCGATGTGCTGCAAGTCGGCTATCCAAGATGGAGTTAGAATAGAGTAGCATATAATACAAGCAATACTTGACGAATTTACGTTCTTTACATTCTTATTTAAAAATAAATTATTATAATTACATATTTATATATATAATTATTTATGCAAGTACGTTTTATCTTTTATAAACTGTTAAATCGAATATATGCTATTAATTCTCAACATGCTTAACCAGTCCTGTTGACTATCGTAACATTCATATTGGCTCACGCGCTCATCTCTAGCTCAAGCAGAGTAAACAGGCCCAACTATAAAAGACAAGACAATTGTAGCCAGCGGCGCTTTACGCACAACCCACACCCATATCTCCCTCATCCCCCACACACCCCCACACATGCACTGATTATGCCATAAAGGGTAAAAAGTTCTGATTTTATGATTGAAGCAAAAAGTTGCAAGTAGAAAACTGTCGCGAGCATGCATCAGTGAGTGTTTGTGTGTCCGTGTGTGCCTGTGTGTGTGCTGTAAAACACTTCCACTTCCGTTTCCGTGTAACAGCAGGCGCAAAGTATTCAAGTAATTTGTAAGTAAAAAGAAAGTCCTCTGTGCCTGCTGTGCAGATAAGCACAAATGACGCTTTGTTGTTTTGTTTGCTGTTCCGCTGCCAGCGAAATGACAAACGAGCCGCATATAAGCATCACATACAAAAAATAAATAAAACCTAAAAGAAACATAACAAAATAATATATAGAAGACTAATAAATCACGCGGATTGCAGACTACAACACGCATCGGCAAATCTGCTTTCATTAGCCCCAATATATCGAGGCAGGTTGTCAAGCCCGACAACAAGACAAACAGGTGAATCTGGCTCTGAAGCACTGTCGACAATCGTTTATTTTTTCTGATTTTCTGTTTTTGGTACAACCTGCAATCATTAGTCATGCATGGGAAAAGAGTGTCATGAAGTTTACATAATGTATGCTAAAGGCGGTGAAGGACAACTATATTTATTTATTTATACTTTGAAGTAAAAATGTGCAAAATGTATGAGAGGCAGAAAAAAGCAGACAGCTGAGTCAATTTAGGAATGTCCTTCTATCTTTATATTGATCAAGTGTAAAAATTTCTTTAAGACAACTACTCATTAATTCTCAGAGACTATAGGATTTCGATTTGTACCTTATTTCTAGTAAGAAATAACTTTTTACACCCATAAATGTGTTTAAAGCCCTACTCAGCCTGTTTTAAATTCCCCCTTAATGCAATCCTTTAAAATCATGCTAAGAAGAAAATAAATTTAAAGCAGAGCTCCATTTTAGTTTTTATTTGCACTTTAACTGGTGACAGAAGATACATAGACAACTAGAGCAACGATTTCTTTTAGCTTTCAGCTTTCGGCATTTTGGATGTCAAATTAATGTGGCTGTCAGCTGGTTGACAGGCGAGCTGAGTGCATTTGTCAGCCACTTGTGTGCGTGTCTGTTCATGGTTTTGCTCCTGTAATTGCACTGATGAAATGCATTTAAGGGACTATAAGACAGCTCTCGCTTATCACACGGCGTATGCGCAACTTCCGCTTTTACCAACTGTCTCTGTCAGAGCGGAAGTGAATTCATTTCGAGTTATTTGTCAAGCCATTGTGTCCATTTAATGAGTTTTTAATGGGTAAACGTTGAAAACACAACGCTTTGTGCATTTCATTCGAGTAGGTTCTCGAGGACTTCGCCCTTTCTCCCTCCTCTATCTGCTAACTGTGTGTGCTTAATTGCATTGTTTTTCAGTGTAAATCAAGCATAAAGCGATATTATGACCGCGACCCACATTGCGTATGCTTAATTAAAATATATATTAAATAATCAATGACTGTAAAACAGCAATTGTAACAAGCAAAGTCCAAAAAACCCATTATTGAATCACCGTTAATACAATTTGTACTCATTTCAATTTGCATCAATCGATTTAGTGACATTAATATATATTTTACCTGCATAAATCAGATGATAATAATGAATGCACAACATGTTCACATAATTAAAGTGGCTCATAAACCACTCTGAAAATCTGCCATTTGCTGCGGAAATATAATTGTACATTTTGCACAAACCGATAAAAATTACATTATTTAAAGCAGTACTTTTAATTAACAGCTTGAATGCAAAAACAATGTTAACGAATTTGTTATTATTATCTGCTTGAAAGTCATTACAATAACGCACATAATAACAATTGACAAAATAATAATATCCTTTTGCAGAATTATACAAAACTGATCATTATATGATATAAGTATAAAAATTTACTTTCCTCTACTATAACCAATCAATTCTAATGTTTTCCGGATAGTTTAATTCTGCTGTCAAAGTGTGCTTAAGAGAAATATGGGTTAGATTATGATTTACGTGATGTGAACGCATTATTGAATATATGATTTATAGCCAAGTAATAACAACTTAAAATCATAGCGAGCAGTTTATTGCTCAGAAAATCAGTGTACTGCAAAACCATAACAACAACTACAACAACAAAAGCAACAACTACAGCTACAATAACAAAAGCCACATCCCGTTGTTGGCCCAAAGGCAAGCATATAAATCAGTCGTCGGGAAATGACAGGACAGGTACGCGCCGTTACCTTTCACGCACATTTCCCCAAAGTAATCAACGCAGTCGCCCCGCCGTTGCAAACAAAAGGCCAAAAAGGAACATAGCCAAAAACGCAGTCGACATTTATCGGATGTGCGCACATTTTTGGGCCAGGTGCTGTGTAGGTTGGCAAACCAAAAAAGGCCAACAGGCAACAAAGTGGGCCAACTTTAATGGGTGCTCGCCAAGTGTTTGTCTATATAGGTGTAGGTGTGTGTGAGGTCGACAAGGCTGCTACTTAGGCACACATTAACTTTTGACCTTTTGTTGAGTAAAACGCTTTGTCTGCCAGCATCTCCTCTGACTTCTGCTTGCTAAATTGTTGTTATCTTAAGACTAGACACAGCTGCCATTATTTCACATTGTTTGTTTTCTTGGTCTTCTTCAGCTGCTTCTTCTACTTCTTCATTTTTAAATTATTTAAATAAATTAGCGCGCATATTTTACTCTGTTCTGTCCGCACAGATTGCAGGTGATTTAATTTGAATAGCATTTAGCTAAAATTTCTTTTTTATTTTCTGGACCCACCAAGCTCAATATTCAAAATGACAGCCGCGGGATGCATTCGGAAAAAAAAGGTAAACGAGAATCACCAAAAACGCATTGTTGTAAAAATTTACTGACAAACTTTATAGGCCACAATTGTGCACGCAGCCAGCTAGACCATAACCATATAAAAACAGCGAAGGTCCTCTCAGGTTTTAGATTACTTTCAACAATTGCCGCAAAAGTGCCATAAATGTGTTTTTAAGACACTTTACAATTTAATGCTAATAACAAAATGTTGAAATTTACATTTCATTCACACAGCGTAAGCAGAAAAGATAGAACAGCAGGTTTAAATACAAAATAATTTTTATAGGGGCATTAAAAATGAGAATTACTTTTCAAAATTAAATTCAGTTAAAGTTTAGCTTAAGGTCCATTTTATTTTATTGTAATCGAAGCAAGCATTTTAAACCATTCGCTTTAAACTGCCATCCAAATATCTAACAGAAACTAAATAATTAAATTAAAGGCGATGACAAGGCTGCTCTCGATTTTACACGCTCGAGCAAAGCCGCCAAGTGAAGACAGTTAACAGACCAAAAATGCCAGACATTCGAGACATTTCATCAAACGTTGCCCTGGCACAAAAAAAGAAGAAGAAATAGGCAGCCACAAAAACAGAGCCTGCAGTTTGTTATGTCGATGGTCGATGGTTTGAGTTGTTGTCCTGGCATATGAACTACATAGTTTTGGAGCTTTATCTTTTTTCTTCTTCTGCTGTTGCTGTCTGTTTTTATGTGTTTTTATATTTATGATTGTCTGTCAATGACAGACAGTCAGACAGACAGAAATACGTTCACAGGATGTGGCGTGTCGAGATTGCCACACTCAAGCGATTGTTATTGTTGCCTCAAGTGGGGCAACAATTGCACTTCAGCCATCGATTTGACTGTGTTTTATCCATATAATATATGCATATTATTTGCTAGAGTGAAAATGAAAGCATAAAAATTAAATGCAAGTTTGGAAATCGATAAGAGTTTGTTAATTGGCTGCAGTTGCTTCGTTCTATATCTATTTTTGTAAGGCATAAATAATTATTGTTAGGTGAGCACTGCAAATGACAGAGCAGAGGACCAAATGACGACACAAAACCTTGACAACTTTGCAAAAGTTTTATGACAAGTTTTTTTTTTGCACAAGCCATGTCGTGCCAAGAAACCAAATAGATATTAGGCCAACAGTTGAGAATGGGCTGAAGCCAAGGGTCGGTCCCAGGAAAGTGGAGTTGGAGTTGAAGCTATGAAAGAGCAGCCGTTGCAAAAACTGACAATGGATGTCTGTCATTCCTGCTGCACAGTGGTTTGATTTCTTACAAAACTTTTTAATGGCACGAAATCAATAATTCTTTGGTTCATTATTGCAAAATTCTGTTTTGCTCAAAGTATTAAATGTTATATGAAACTGGTTCTTAATGTGTATATATTCAAAATCTAATGATACAGATGAATGTTAACTCTGTTTAGTCAGATTCTAAGAGCTACTTTTAATATAGTTCAAGGCAGAAATATACATTTTAAATAGATGCAAGAAAGAATATTACGGACCTCTTTCTTTTTTATTAGCAATTTGAATGCAACATTATACTGAAAGTATTCATATATATGCAACTTAATATCAGCAAACTAAATCCAAAATGTCAGCATGAAAATTTATATACTTTTAAAGTTAATTTAATTCACTTAAAAAGCTCGCTTTTAATCTCCTCAGTTGGCTTTTTAATCTTCTCAGTTGCTCGAGCACATACTTAATGTAATACATAGAAATCGGTTGTTCAACGAGGCCAACAAAAATAATATTATAAATGCCAGGCATTACCTGAATAAAATCCAAAATGAATAAATTTTTAAGGACTCGCTCGCCTATCAACAAGCACTCAAGCAATTTGCTTTTAATAAGCTCAACGCCCACAGTGCCACCCGATGTGGCAGCTGACACGGTGTGCG